GGGAGGGGGAGTTGCATTAATTTGGTGGATAAGGATGTTATGTAGAAATTAGGATTGATATTAGAGGAAGATCCCAAGTGATGCTGGATTTAGCAGATTTGATATTCAATGCTGTAGGTGAAGTTCTTACCCTAAAGCTGTAACTGAAGAGAGGACAGTCCAAATTCTGTCACTCTACCTATGGAAAAAATTTGGAACATCAAAATTTTCCCATTTGGCTTGGTGTCATTAGGAATATTATTTGATTAGAAGAATAGAATAGAAGTTCATAATGAAACCAAAGCTTAAAACCTGTGCAAATCCACTCCATCTAAGACCATGCCTAATTAATACAGTTTTTTCTTCCTCACTAGAATATTTTCTCTTGTTAGATCCAGAAAATGTTTTCTCAGAGTCTCCTGTCATCTGATTTATGATGGCATAGATTTCTTGTCCATGTATTCAAAGTGAGGATGTTTTTTGGCTGATCAGTTGCAGAGCTATGAAGTTTAAGCTAACTTGATCCTCCTGTATTTTTTGAGCACTGATTTTTTCTCCATTACAGGTGATGCTTGTAAAGCAGAATCTCTCTATGATCATTTTATCAAGATGGGCTTCAGACCTGACAATGCAGCATGTGCATATATGATTAGTTCATATGGAAAGCGACAACAACTTAGACATGCCCAAGAAGTCTTTGCAGTGTCCTCTGGTTCTCCTTCTGTCAGCAAACCTATATATACCTCCATGATAAATGCATATGTCAAATGTGGTAAACCAGAAGAGGCATACAACATTTACAAAGAAATGATTGAAAAGGGGCATGAATTGGATGCTGTTACCATCAGCATAATTGTGAATGCTTTGACTAATAATGGTATGTATCATGTGAGCTAGTAAATGTTTTATTTTCTTCCAGTTTTCTTCCTTTTTGAGGACAATAGGCATGGGAGCTATCACTTGATTCTCAAATTCCCAGATGGCTCAATTGACCAAGCTATTTCACATATTCTACTAAATGGGCAAAGCACCTGAATTTGTGATGTCATGGGATCCAACACTTCCATGATTATGGTTTCAAAACTAACTGATTTACTTTTTTATGGTTCTTAAAATTAAGCATTGAAAGGTTTACCCCTTGACAATAAAAGGTCACCTGTTATGTATTTAATTGTATGTTAAACCTAATACACTATAACCAATAAATAATTTTTCAAGATTTTACTCAGCATGGTAATCCATGTATTATCAAATTTTAACACCCATTTCTGTTGTACCTTTGTAATATCTACTGCTTATGTGTGTACCACATGTGACACATGCTAAACAATGAAGTAATTTAGTGACTTTTATGTCTTTATTCTTGGATTTTATCTTTGTACTGATGAATTATAATCCAACCTCAGGCAAACATCAAGAGGCACAGAACATTATTCAGTCAATTTTTCAGGAAGGTGTTGAGCTGGATACTGTGGCATACAATACCTTCATCAAGGCAATGCTAGAAGCAGGTTATTGTGTGTGTGTGTGTGTGTGTGTGTGTGTGTTTTGTTTGTTATAACGTAAAGAAGTTGAATATCACAAATAAAGATTCAAGATTTGCAGGTAAGTTACACTTTGCAGCCAGCATTTATGATCGCATGCTTTCCTTGGAAGTTGTGCCATCACTTCAGACATATAGCACCATGATAAGGTAAGCAGTTGGCATGCTTTTGTTTGTCAAGAAGAGGGTGAAACGACAAGAAAGGGAATTTACCTTGTGGATGATGGATGTGCTTTTTATTTCTAATGGGTGCAGTGTGTATGGACGAGGTCGAAAGTTGGACAAGGCTACAGAGATGTTCAACATGGCACGTGGTTTGGGTTTCTCCTTAGATGAGAAGGCATATGCCAATCTGATTAGCTTTTATGGGAAGGCTGGTAATAATTCATTCTTAACTTGTTATGAATATATACCCCCAGACTGTGCAGTATACATTTCTCTAAATTAAATTTCATAGGAGAAATAAAAACTTCAAGCAGTTATGTGCATGGACAAGGATGATTCCATCAATGAGGAGTCACTTGGTGCAAGTAGAGACTCTAAAAGAACAAGGGGAAGACCAAAGAAGATGTGGAATTGAAGTAATAAGAAATGATCAAGTACTTAACATTTGACAGAAAACATAGCTCTTCATAGAGTACAATGGTGAGATAGGATTCACATTACTGACCAAATACTAGGGATTACAGCAGGGTTGGAATGTTGAATTGAGAATTTTAATGAGAGTCATACCTGATACTGTGAGCTCCATCCAAAGAGAGTACTATTCTGGTTTCTATTAATCTGCAAATGGTTATAAAATTTTGTTTATTTTAATGGGTGATGGTCCTTGGGAAGTTTCTTTCAGAGTAAACCAGTGAACTTTAGTGCAATACCAACCAGTGCACATGGAGCAGGTAAAAGGCTTACCAGGGTATAGAAATTGAATTTTTGGATGTCAAATCATTTATTTCCTTGGGAGATTGTCTTTTTTTTTTGGTTTTATTAGTTTATATTAGCAATCTTTTATGTTGGTCAAGTATCAGACTTCTTTGCCTCAATCATCCTTTTATCTAATACTTAATTATGTTGCAGGTAAGAGTCAAGAGGCATTCCTTTTATTCAGCAAGATGCAGGAAGAAGGAATAAAACCTGGGAAGGTATGTACACATATAATACCAGGATACCTATACATGTCCTAGGGCCATTAATTGGTGTAATGGTAAAATGTTAGCTGTCAAGTGTGAGAACGTTGGTTCGAGTCTGAGAGCAGTCACCTTGTGTGAAAAAAATGCAAAAGGTTGGGTCTGTTTCCAGACCACTCCTCCCAAGATCCCATATAGCTGGGACCAACATTGGGTATTTTATACCTATACATGTCCTGTGTGCTGGTGTCAAACACAATATTTACCTGATACAACACTGGAGACTGTATGAACACTTTCTAGAATTTTTAGAATCTACAGTAATATGTAAAATGGTTGACGAATCATATTTATGAAAACTCCATATGCCTTGGAAGTTCGAGTGGATCTGGCAAGATGTATAGATGTATCTATTACCTAATATAAAAGGGAGAGTACCATTCTCTCCTTTCATCAACTTCCATTCTTTCTTTCCCACTTAAATTCTTATACTTGTGTCCCCCTGCATACCATAACATTGGTCTTAAAAAACTAGATAAAGAAACATGGTATAACATGTTAAGTAGGATATCCAAACCCATATCAATGTTCTGGATCTTAGGAAATGGAGTCATATCTTTGTTTCCTGTATTCATGTCCATGGTCCATACTATGTCTGGGCATTTGATGCATACATGAAACATTACAAACAGAAGGTATGTTTAGATTTAAAGACGTCAAGGTACATTATGGTTACTTATTCTAGGGGGATTTTGCATTATTTAATGATAAATAATATTGCCTAATATGGGACATCTATGAACTGAATGTGTCTCACTATTCAAATAACTTCATTGACTGAATCCATTGACATGGTGCTTACTCCTTTTCTGTTTCTTTTTTTCGTTTTTCTGGAAATGCAGATCAGCTACAATATTATGATCAATGTGTGTGCTAATGGTGGGCTTGATCATGAAGCAGAAAGACTTTTTCAGGCTATGCAAAGAGATGGCTGTCATCCTGATTCCTTAACCTACCTTGCACTTCTTCGTGCCTATACAGAGAGTGGGAAGTATTTAAAAGCAGAGGAAACTCTCAGTGTAATGCAGAATGGAGGGATTGACCCTTCTTGTGCTCATTATAACCAACTAATCTCTGGTTTTGTGAAATCAGGATTTATTTTGGAGGCTGAAAGGGTTTATGGGAAAATTATTGAATGTGGGTTAAGTCCTGACCTAGCATGTCATAGAACCATGCTCAGGGGTTATGTGGACCATGGACATATTGCAAAAGGAATTTCCTTCTTTGAACAGATTAAAGAGTCRGTGGAAGCAGATAGGTTTATTCTGAGTGCAGCTGTTCATCTTTACCAATCAGAGGGTGAGGACCTCAAAGCTGGTGGCATTCTGGATTCCATGAATAGGCTTGGAATCTCATTCCTGGAGAACCTTGAAGTTGGATCAAAGACAAAAATCATGTGAGTTCTTTCTTGTAAGAATATAAAGATGAGAGCCATGAAGCCCCCAGAGATTCATGAAGATGTCAATGGGGATATAGCAAATGAATTTCTGAATGGATTAAGGTAAAAAGAAGCTAAATTCTTTATTGGGCAAAACAGGTAGTGGTGCCATGAGAATCTTGATCACACTGTTGCCAGTGGTAATAACGGGAAGTAACAGCAGAAGCAATTGTAATGATGTAGGCTGCAAACGTAACAAGTTAAAAAGCAGTTATGAATCTGTACCGCTTGCTTGGAGAATGCCTTGGTGCATGCAGGTGGATGGTTATCAACTTATCAAACCTCCCAGTGAAAGGTGTTGGGGAATAACATGGGTGAGGACCGATGTGGGTTCAAAAGATAGGCCTAAGCAAGGTGCCAACTGGTTTGTAAGGGGTCGTAGCAGAGACTTGGGATAGAATCCCGCCTGCATCTGGGTTGGGGAATGGGCTACCCCCGTTATGCACAGAGCAGCTAGTATATACCAGCCAAATGGATCATCTGGGTTGGGGAATGGGCTTTATTGGTTTTTTAAGATCAATCTGCACCTGGGCACCATCTCGACGATGAATGGGTGCTGAACTGCTGATATTGTGAGAATTGGGCTGGTCTCAGTTTTTAGTCATTATCTTCTATTTATTTGGTTACCAAAAAAAAATCTTCATTTTTATGGTCATTGTCATGAAAACATATGCCAATGGGCATTGATCACCGGCCATCCACCGAAAAACATTTATGCGACAATTTCAATTTTGGAGACTTAGGTTGGCGGTTTATGACCGCTAACGCAGTTTTGTTTAAGAATGAAAATAAACAACATAAAACACTGGCCAATTTGAAAAGAATTCATTTTTAAGATAAAAGTGTTTGGTTCATAGCAATATTTTCTCATTCTACCCATTTTTGTCCATTTTGGAATTTCATCTTGGATAAGAATTAAAGTTGAACCAAACATGGCCTAAGTATAGCCTGGGATTTTTTGTGTTGGGTTAAATTTATCCTTAAACTAACTTAACCCGGCCCAACTCACAAATTAGATGGTGATTCCATGTGGCTAAAGTTCACATTATTGYGATTACGTGATATTGCTGATGACCAAGTAGTCAAGATGGTTGCATTGCACCCCCTCCATAAGAAGCATGTGATGAGACCCACAAATAGAATAACCCTAGGCTCTTTGTATGGTCAAAGGGCCTCATGTGTAGTTGTGCACCCTGCTATCCCAATAACCCTAACCAATGAAATGTACTTTCCCAATAACCTAAATAATCTCTTCTCTTAAAATTTCTCCTAAATTATCTCTAATTTCTATTTATCTTCTAAATTATCTCTAATTCCTATTTACCCTCTCCCCCACTTTTTATCTATATATATCTAAAGAAAGTTTGGATTAAAAAATTTAAGAATTATTTAAATATTCTAACAAATTTATATAATAACTTTAAAATATTTATTAAAAACATAAAAAATAATTTTATCTTTTGACAAAATATATCATTAAATTATGTACTAACAATTTAAATTTTATTTTTCCTGATTTTCAAATTAAATGCTATTCAAATAATAAAAAATTAACATTAAAAAATAAAATCTTATTTAAATATTTAAATAAAAAAATATCTTAAATAACAAAACATTATAAAAATATAAATGATTATATAACAAAATATTTAGTAATATGTAATAGCCTTATATAAATAAAATTCAAATAACAAAAAGTTTTAAATATTTTACATACTATTTAAATAACTAATTAATTAACATAACAAGATTTTAAATAGTTAAAATAACGAAAATATGTAATCAATTTAAAATTTTTCTTAAAAGTAGAAAAATAATTATAACATAATATTGAAATTAATAATAATTTAATATCTTACAAAATTAATAATGAAATTATGTATTAATAGTATAAATTGTAGTTTTATTGATTATTAGATTCAGTAAATAACAAAAAACTTAAATATTTTACACATTATTTAAATATTTAACATAACTATATCTTAAATAGTTAAAATAACGATATTATGTAATAAATTTAAAAAATTTCTTAAAGTAGAAAAATAATTATAACATAATATTGAAATTAATAATAATTTAATATCATACAAAACTAATAATGAAATTATGCAATAATAGTATAAATTATATTTTTATGGATTATTAAATTCAATAAATAATTAATATTTTAAAATTTAAATATTTTGCATATTATTTAAATATTTAAATAACAAAATATTTAACATAACTAGATTTTAAATTAGTTAAAATAGAAGTTCTGTAATAAATTTAAAAAATCTAAAAAGTAGAAAAATAATTATAACATAATGTTGAAATTAATAATAATTTAATATTTTACAAAATTAATAATGAAATAACTTTAATAATAAATTAATATTTTTACATAATATTGTAAATAACTAATTTCAMTTATATCAATTAATAATTTGAGAAAATAGCGTTCATAAAAATTAATATTTATTAATAATAATTTTAAACTCTTAATATATATTTATTATATACTTATATATAATAATATTAATATTTGTTGTATTTAAGTTATTATTTATTATTTTTGTGATAAATGTATTTTCAATAATTATGTATAAATTTATTTTTGTTTTGTTATTTAACAGAAACTTTCAATAATTATTGAAGATTAAATTACTATTATTGAAATTTTTAAATTTTGTTTATTGTACATATTGTATTTTTTGTATTTTTGTTATAACTTATTGATTRATATTTATTAGAGATTAAACTATTATTTTAATATATTTTTAGTACTTATTGTATTTTGTAATTATTGTATTATTTCATTATCAATATATTTTTAATAATTGTGTATTTTCGCTATAAATTTTTAATAATTATTGGAGATTAAACTATTATTATTTGTTAGAGATGAGACTATTAATTTAGTTGGAATTATGAGTTCATGAGTTGGTTCGGTTCAGTTATAAGCTGTTTGGTCAACAAAATTGACATAGTCAAGTTGGGGAGTTAGTCAGCTGAAACCAAGTGACCATTTGTGAAAATCGACCCACTAAAGTTGTATTTAGTTTGGATCSATTTTTTGGTTTAGTTAGTCAATTCAAAATATTTAAACTTAAAGATTAAATTTAAATTTTAAAAATTACAATGCAATTGTTAAAAAATAAATTTATGATATAAAACATTTTAGACTAAGAAATATGAAAAATTTCCCACTTTTCCATATTAAATTTTATATTTAAAATATAAAATATTAATATATATCAATGGTCAAGTCATCCGATTTTGGTTGGTTTTTACAAATGACCAAAGCAAAACTGATCCAACTTGGTCGAGCTGGGAAATTTTTGAACCAAAGCCAACCTAAAATACTAGAAAATCGACCAATTCAGGTCGAGTTTATCGGGTTGATCAGTTTTATCAGTTTGATGAATAAGCTTAACTGAAATTAATTAATGTTATTTTTGTATTATAAAAAAATATTAAAAGTAGTATATAAAATATGAATAATTATTAATTATTTAAAAAGTTGAAAATATAAAACAATTGTATACTCTTATGTGTTTCTATTAGGGTCATTTACTAGAGCACATCTTATACTTTTACATATTTACTTAAACCTACTTTATAGGTTTCATTTTACTAAAATATCCCATATATTTTACAACTTATTTGTTTAATCAACCTTTCGTTAAGAAGTGTTTGTTTTGCCATTAGGCCCATGATTTTTTATTTCAAAAATGCATGTAACATTTTTTTGTACAGAAAACAAAATTGACCAAATATAGTTAATAGAGTGGTTGCATGTGTCTTATTAGGAACAAAAATGRTATTTTTATTTTTTTATTAAATTTATTTAAATGAACATTAGAGTTGACGTTGTCATTTTCCATTGTCATCTAATGGAAGATTGATTAAATCCATTGCAAATTATAAGTGGTATTTTAGTAAAATACAAACTATAGGGTAGATTTTAGTAAATCCATTAAACTATAGAAGGTGTTTTAGTAAATAATTATTTCTATTATTTAGCTTTCACTTAACAAATCCCGTGTGATGCACAGGTCCTCGCTAGTTGCTATTATGTTTTGATTTGATCAATATAAATTTGCAAGAGATTTTTTTATGTAAAATGTTTTGAAAACCATTTGAGTTGATCAATATAAATTATTATAAAAGCTCTTTTACCTAAAATGGTTTTTCTTTTGTAAAATCCCTTCTACCAAATTATTAAATTTGACGTTTCTTTACTTTTTTTATACAAATACATTTTTTTAGTTGAAATGACACTACACACATTTTTTCACAAAATTGTATCGATCAATCTAAAATTCAAGGTGTCTCACCCCAAATTACTCATATAGTCCCTAAATCTTCCTATTTCGTGTATCAACAACCTAAAAATAAATTAAAAATTAAAAAAGTAAAAAGAAAACTCAAAATATGATATATATTGATACCTTAAACCTTTGTTATCGGGTTTTTTAGGTATCATCTCTCTCCTTGAATTTGATTTGTTATCGGGTTTTTTAGGTATCATATCTTTTCGGTATGTGTCCTAGCCACTAGTTAGTCATGCTGGTTTACAAATCCTACACGTGGCAAGATTCGTAAAGGTCCGATTCAAATTAGGATTATGATCCAAATACCCTTAATAATATTATATTTACAAGCACACCCCTTTATGGACAACTAGAACACCGCAACGGAATTTCTTCCTGAAACGGTTTCGTCTCTGTCTCACAGGTCCTTTCTTCCTTCAGTAAAGCTCGTTTTCTAGATCATAAAAGATCAATCTCTCTCCCTCTTACACGGCAATGGCGGCAGCAGGGAGAAGACATGGCCTCGTCATGGCGTCGAATCTCCTCCAAACCCTAACGGCTTCTTCTGCATCTCGTCTTCCTTCGAATTCCAGAAATCTCAGTCTTGTCAGAAGCCATATTAGCAATCACACTGCCAAATGGATGCAGGTACTCTATAATTTATATTCCTCCCATCGTTTCCCTTTTCAAAAATTTGATCTGTTTCTTTGTTATTGAGAATGGCGGGATCTAGGGTTCCTACGCTTTTTTTTTTTTTTTTTTGATTGTTAAAGGGGGTTCCTACAATCGTCAATAAGTTGAGTATGAAATATGTTGTTTCCTGTCATTGAGGCAGGCTTTAGTTGTAGGTTTTATTAATTGTTTCTTTAATGTTATGATTCTGTATCTAAATTTTCAGAAATGCATTGAAAGGAAATACCGTCCCCACCCCCTTCTCCTTTGGGTGCTCTGGCCACCCTAATCCCTAAATTGAGCTATTGGTTCAATGACTGATAGAGTCTTAGCACACTTGCATAGATTTAGCCAATTGCCTGGTTGCACCTTCAAGGGCCTATCACGACTGCTTTCTAGGAAGTCCTGAAATTGAGTGGCCTGTTTAACACCTTGGAAATTTCTCCTTCCTAGAAGACTCTTTATTATACTGGATTAGATTCCATAGGAACTACTGTGAACATTTAGTGTTCCTAGCAGTTTGGAATTTGACCTCCAACAGTTTACCAAGCAATTGCTGATAAAGAGAAGAATGGGCTAAAAATAGGATGAAGTCTTAAGACCATGTCCTCGGATCCAATACTAGCCTACACACAAGACATTCCATGCACTGTGCCCATTCTAGCAGTTTTGGCTAGGTCACGTGGAGCCCATGAAGATGGAGAATCCTCTCAATCAAGGATTTGATAAAGTTTGGGAAAATATGTTAAATTTATTTAGGTTTCAATTTATCTTCTTTGTTAGCAAGTTTTTCACTGTTTAGTTACATTTGCTGGTAAGATGATTATCGTGTAAAACTCAAAAGATTTGATTACATATGTCATTGTAAAACTGTTTTGAGCCTAATGATGCTGACTCCAATAGAATCTTATTTATCCTTACAAGAGATATTTTATTGGTGTTATCCTTATTTTGGTTGAACCTGTCATTATTCTTAAACTTTATTGAATTATTCTTCTTTTCCTGGTCAACCTTTTTCCATTGCCAACTTATCTCTCTAGCTATCTTTATTTTTTCTTATTCTGACTGTTTACTTCATTTCTTATTTATTATTCCCTCACTGTTTTCTCTCTTGATTATTTTGTTCTTCCATATTTTGGCTTTCTGCATTTCTCTTAGATTAGAGATTTATGTTTAATGGTCCATTATCCATTAAAAAAAAACTTTCACCAATTTATTGGTTTTGTTTCACTAGTTGGTCAATTGTTTAACTTTCCTAAATTCTGTCCAGCCTACTTTCTTGGGGAAATCTAGGCTAAGTTTCAAACTAACAATCCGAGGACCTTGTGGCCTGTTTCCAGCTTGCTCGGCCTATTCCAGCCACATAAGTAGCTGCTCTTTGGGTGGGTCCTGCATCATTTATGGTATCAAATTAGGTCAGCCACCATGACAACTAAAAGTGGTATATCCTCTGGTCTTAGGCCCAACAGTGTTCAACTATCTCATTAGTTACGTAGCTTAACCAATCGTGTGTGTTCCAAGGAGACCCAACAGTGTTCTCCCCATGCACCTAGAGCCTCCAATGAATCTTCTATAGATGAACACAAGTCTAGACTACCAATTGATGTGATGGGAGATGAAGTTGAAGGCAAACATCATGAGCAATCAGCAATGCTCACTAATCTACCCACTGAGGTAGCAGCTCAAGGTCAGTCTAGTACTCCTAGCGAGACATTCCCTACATAGTAAATAAGATATTTGTCCAGAGAGTTCTGAACCTACCATTGGATGAATGGAATCACCAAGAAGGTAAGAACTGATATAGTGAATTTCTTGGGGAAAATGGAATTACACGACCTCTTGATTGGATAACGGCCATTGAGGAGTGAGGACTGCTATGAGACTTAAAGTGCATGCTAGTGTATGGTGTGGTGTATAGGATCATGTACATTATGGGTAACCTGCTATAACCATGTACAATTGGTTTTATAAGCATAGTAAAATTGTCACATCCTTGTGGAAAGAGGACCTGACAAAAAAATAACCACAAACAAGTAAACCATCTTATAAGGATTGTTCCTCCCTAAGTGGTAAAGCTACTGGTAAAGAATTGGCTTACCTTGGAATCTATTTGAGCAAGATTTCTGATGGCGCACGACCTGGATGCTCCTAGCTGGAGGACAGCTCGGACACTGACGGCTTAGCTGGCTAATCGAACTGCAAGACAAACAGATCAGAGAACCCAGGGTGGCTAACCCGGCGAGGTCGCTCCAATGCCTAAGTCAGTATCTTAGTGTGCGAGCTGGAAGTTGTGTGCTAGTAGGCTATAGAGCAAATGATCGTGTGTACCTGGGTTTCGGGTGGTTGATGCCCTTATATAGTTGGGTTGTCGTAGGTCTTGCAAAACTCTCCCGGGATCTTCGGCCCGAGCCGTTGGGGTCCGTTTCTGGAAGGCGGAGATTCTGCTAACTGACGAAGGTTATTGCTTCCCTCCTATTTGGACGGGATAAGATTAATGCCTACGGTTACACAGCGTGATCCCGAGAGGCTCGGAGACAACTATCAGTCTTCTAGATACCCACCACGTGTCACCTTGACAAGCTTGGTCATCTCAAGATACCCGGGCCTTGGTGCTATCCGAGGTGGCCGAGGTACCCAAAGTGAAACGACCTGCCGGGGCGTCCGAGGGTGTTGATTCGACCTATCGAGGTGGTCGGGGGTGTAGACCCAACATGCCGAGGTGACTGGGAATGCTAAGTTAATCTGCCGGGTAGCTGAGGATGTTGAGTCATGTGTCTAGTCACCTGATTGAGTCCACGTGTCTGCTGTTTACTAGGTCGGGCCAAATCACCCCTCATCAATTTCAATTCTAAAATTCAATCAAATCACTAAGTATTTTTCTATGAGCATGCTTTAATAATTGTCATTGTTTCGAAACATGCAGCTGGGTGCAAAAATGAGGTGCATTTTAAGGAATGTCCCTTGCCTAAGCCCAGGTGCATCCCTTTCAAAAGGCCTGCACCTAGTGCACCTTGAGCCTAGGCTTTTGTTATTTTGTCGATTCTTATGTGTTTTACAGCTTTGTGATGGTTTATCAACTTCTGAATCACCATTATTGCTGTTTGTACACTAGTAGTGACCTAATAAGTATTAACTTTTAAAATAAATGAAAACAAAGATCATTCAATATTTGAAGCCTTAGTTGCAAACAGAATCTCAAGTAGCAAAATTTCCACTAATGAAGCAACAATACAACTAACCATAGTTGCAAAGCACCAAGGCGGAGCTAGTGCCTAGGTGCCCACCTAAGCGTTGCCTATATGATGGGTTTTTTAAAAGAAAATACAAAATCCTAGAGCAATACTCTTCATCTGCCTTTTCTCCTATTGAAAGGTTTGTTTTACTGTTGACTCCTCTTGATAGGAAGTTAATACTGTTTTAGTAAATATTTTAGTTGATGCTTGTGTGGGTGATCAAGGCATTGTGGTCTTGCTGGTTTCAAGATCAGAGAAGGTTGATGGTTTTTGCCATATCAGGTCCATGAGAGGATTGTTATTCAAATAAGGCTTTGCTTCTTCCTAGATTAGGGAAGAGCCAGAAGTTTTCGTAATGTGGTAATGGGAAGAGATTAGTTTGTTGCTTTACTAAATGAAAATGCTGTTTATTGATGTATGGAGTGCCTAGATCAGCCAATAAGATAGTGGGGAAGGTGGGTACCTTTACAGCAGTCCAGTACATCTTTCTGTGGGGCAATACGGTTGGGCTATTTTGTTCCTTTAATAACCTTCTTTTGTCCACCTTCTTTGTGCAAGCCTTGTTTCACCTCTTTTTTAGGTGCGGTTTGTCCTAATTTTGTCTCTAGGGAAAAGAAATAACCACTGGGGTATAGTCCTTAGTAGTTGAAAGTTGATTTGTTATATAGTTCCTTTTACTACATATTCATATTCTAGATCTGCTTTATGGAGTTTGCTTTATCTGGAACTTGGTGAACTATTTGTACTGAAGAGCATTTGCTTGACGATTTTGTTAAAAGGATACAAGTAAGAAATCACCAATGGAATTGATCAGTGAAGTTCCACCCATCGAGGTGGAAGGAAGAATTGTTGCCTGTGAAGGAGGTACCCCTTTTAAAACTGCTTATATAAATTGATAGATCTGCTCAACCAAGTTAATGGATTGCTTCAGTTGATCCTTTCTACTGTTTACTTCTTGTTCTACTTGCAGACAACAATCCTGCACTGGGGCACCCAATTGAGTTCATATGCCTTGACCTGAAAGAGCCAGCTGTATGCAAGTATTGTGGGCTTCGCTATGTTCAGCATCATCATCACTAGCCTTGTGTCGAGGGTTTATCTTTTGAGATGAATTCCTGGGATGGCCATGCAGAGCAAAGACTCCCGTTTGGGTTTTTTCCCCTGATGGAATTAATATATGCTATGTTTCTTTTATTTGTCATTTGTGCCAAATGGTTTTCATGCTCATCACAAGTCAATAAATACAATGTGACTGATCAATCTACTCTTACGAGGTAAAGTTTATTCAATCCTGCTTGCGCATCACGTTTATTCACTGTGAATAGTTTTATTTGTTAATCTCCTGATAACAGTTGCAGTTATAATACAGGACCAATCATGATGATTCTGTAATCTGTACATATGGATCCTACAAGCAGCCTGATGCCGAACATAGATATCTTTTTTTCGGTGAAAGATTTAAAACCTAATAGTTTTTCAAAAGAACTTACAGATACCTTGTGACTTTAGCACAGAATAACATTTTCCCTCCAACCATTAGCGTGAGATGGTGAGAGACTGAGAGGCTTTAACTTTGACATCGATCGATAAGCTCCACCCGGTTAAAGTTGAATTTTGGTTATACAAATTCCGACGTGTTATCCTTTCTGTAATTCCAACTCCCAGAAAGCAAAAGCATATAAAACTGTTTCTATTGTTGCCAGTTCTGAACCCCAAGCAGATCAGGCTAAAATTTAATATTTGGAAGAGAGCCACCAATTTAAGAAATTAGCTTGCAAATAAACATCAGCATCTCAAACTAGTCATAGATCAGCTTCGAGTTGTTATCCACATGTCAAAGTCCTTGTTCCGTCTAGAATAGAGAACACAATTCTAACTCAAGGACCAATTCTGAGCATTGGGATTTGATGTTTTAAGGTTGACATGAAAAGTGTTTTGCTTAATCAAACTAATTCAAGTCAAAAGGATTTGCATTAGTCGTATCGATTTCATTATATTTAGCACGTTAAATTAGTGGAATTTTTATACGACTGCAATTTTCTATTATGACTGAAATTGCAAACAAAAAAAGAGGTTTTCCCCAACAAACATGAACAATAATTTATGCAGGTTTTTTGTATTAGAATAATTGATATTTCTTGTCTATTTCAAATGGAAAAAAAAAGCAGGGTTGATATACAATTATTTAAAAAATAAATTAATATTTCTATTATTTAACATGTTTTCTCAAGTTCACACTTGTTTATAATTTATACTTTTATAGTCATTTGGACCTCAATTTAAGTGTTACTGATATTTTGGGGATTCATAAGCTTTTCCCTGCCTTCCGCCTGAATACTTGGAACAATGCCAAATAACATTTGGTACTCTGGCAACTACTAAAACTACAAGGCAGTTCAGTTGTCCAGACTGCAGAAAAGAGAAAAAAGAAAATATTGGGGTTGGCCTTCTCTTGGTCACTTCTGCCCTCATTAAAAAAAATGTAGGGATGAAGCAAATAAAAAATTGGAATGCCGCATGAGATAAAAAATAATAATAAAATTTTATATACAATTCCAAAATTACAGAAGGGACCCAATACTCTCACAAACTCAAAAATGAGGAAATGCGCCCCACCATGATCCATCATTATTGTCACTAATATCACCTATCGAGAATCTCCTGATGATGAAGGGTCCCTTGCTACCAAGTACCAATTTGATGCTTCACTTTCTCACCTCTGAGACAGAAGTATTTTGCCATAGGTATTTGGTTGCCGCGGTTATTGCGACTGGAAGCGTTCATTCATTAGTAATCTGTTGAAGAAATAAAAGAAATGTGCGGATGTAATCACGAAATGTTGTCCCCCATATAGTTGAAAACTCTCGACTTGAACACCCGAGCTAAATCGGCAATTTCAGCCTCCACCTGCACTTTCTTTTTTGTGCCATCAACATCATATTTTTGGAAACCCCAGCTTTGCCGCGACTTCCTGTTTACAACATTTATGGTCAAGCTTGTCACGTCTCTACTGCTTGTTAGTGCTCCTAGGACGGCTGCTGAGTAAGCAGGACTTGATGCCAGTCTATTCAGAAGAATCAGTGCTTCCCGCACGAACAAGGTCCTGTACAGGTCAAAACTCACTGATAATCAAATAGACATCAAAACATGAGTTACAGAATACTTGTGAATTGCCAAAAAGATGTGCACATGATATCCAAACTGAATACCAAAATGGATTTCAGGCACCTTGCCTGACGCTTGCCATTTAGTGTTTTAAGTTTGATTTGGTACAAAATAGCTTTAAAACATGATCTGAAACTAGAAAGACTGTTCAATCTGTGACCCAGTGACGGCAACAATCGTGTCTGGTCCAAGGTTGACAATATTGGTTCTAAAGACATCAACAAAAAAAAAACAAAAAACAAAAAAGGATGGGAGCTCATTTAGGTGTAGACCCCTTACAGGAAAAACTTTGGCTGCTTTGAGAGCTTCCTGCACATGACACATTACCATGGGTGTCGGGTAAAAAAATATTTGCAATTTAGCCAAAACAGATAAACAAGGGACTGAGTGGGATAAATATGTGTCATGCAGGAGGAAACTCCCAGACAGAAAAAGTTTCCGCCCTCTTATAACCTAAAGGCATCAGGCATTGTTGAGTGAGGTGTAAGCAACTGGGGCAAGACCACTTGGCTCCACCTCACCATAATACCTCAGCTTACAGCCTTTTCAAATCATGTTGCATACTAGACAACGTTACAAGTTAGAACATTTTATTTCACATTTTCCTATCTCCAATTTTCAACTTCAAAATCAATTAGTATTTATTAATATTTTCTATTTTATTTTTTTCCCCCAGACTAGGATGGCTTCAAAGTCAGCTCAAGCATATTTTGAGGGCTTCAGATGACTGGAAAAAATTATTAGGTTCTCTAATCATCCATCAACTGGAGAACCCTGAACTGATGATAACATCTTACCCATAAGAAGATATCCTTCAACTAGGGATGATTCCTAGTAGTTCTTAATCGTTTCAATGTCCTCTTTCCTGGAAGACTTTAGTTTCTTAAAAGAATTTTGTTTTTCAGCATTGTTGGTGTCTGTTGAAACCAATCATTTTCTGATTTATATTTCACGAGTGTTCAATTTGGCTTTAAAAAAACAATATGTAAAAAGAAATCCTTGGGTGTTAAATTAAGATTACCTCTCTCTGCAGATTTCTGATAGTTCAGTTGATTCTGATTCCTCTGAGTCCAACTCTGATGCCAAAACTCGAATAATCAACTCTAAAAAATTGATCCTTCTGGACATTCCTGAACCCAACAGGATTTCAAAGCCTAATTTTCCAGAAGATGCAATGAAAGCCAAAATGATGACAGCACGCCTACGAAGCTTTAGCTCCTGTAAATTTCACTCATATGTTCAATTTCAGAGATTGGCAAGCATGGTTGAATGTGGATTCTATTACACACGGTATACATACACTTATGGAAATGCACAGTATACATCATAGTATCATATATATGCATAATACATGTGAATGCATATAATCAGTAGCTGTATAACTAATTTATTGGCAATTATTTTGAGCACAACCTTATTATACATGTATCAAGCCCTCAAAGTACTTTTATCATTTTCTTTCTTTTAATGCTGTTTCTACAGCAAATTCTTCAACTAAAATTGTTTAAAATGTATTATTGCTGTATTGTTTAAAATGTATTATGTTGATTCAGCAAGAGGCTGAATCATTTTTCCCTCTGGGTTGCAGATCAGCAGTTTGACCGTCCAGGTCAAATGGGTCAGCACGTGACATGTCATCATATATAGTATACATAATAGTTAAATATACAAAATTATGTATGATGTTCATAATTATATAATTAAATGTATATAATATTTAGAATATATAATTATATTCTGTATATTATATATATTTATTATTTTAGTTTAAGCTTTTTTATACTAAAATTTAAGATTTGAGGCCAAAAAAAGCATTCTTTGGCAAAAAAAAGTGCGTCAAGGCACCTTGCAATGCATAGACCACGAAAAATTACCCAAAATCAGAAAAAGAATAAAGGTCAACCCAAACCAACCACTGAGCACAAAGTTGTAACCTCCAAAAGTTTTCTGATGACACTATAATCCTAATTGCCAATGGAAGTGTTGATGAGATGAGAACTAGAAAAAGGGTTTCATCTGCAAACTGGATCTGGAAAAGACTTGTGATTTGGTTGATTGGGGCTTCTTGTGTGAGGTAATGAAGAATTTCAGGTTTGGTGATAGATGGTGCAAATGGATTTTAGGGTGCATTAAGACTTCCCATTATTCAATTTGGTGAATGGATCCATGGTGGATCACTTTCCGATGTTAAGAAGTCTTAGACAAGGGAGATCCCCTTCGCTCTTCCTGTTCACACTGATTACTAATGTTTTTAGAAGACTTGTGACTAGGGCTGATAATAGGAACTTGGTGAGGGATGGAGGGTAGGTAGGACTGAAGTGCCTCTTAGTCTTACCCACTTACAATTTGTTGATGACACTATTTTGTTTTGTGAAGGTGGTAATCTTGGGTTAAGGAATTTGAAGATGTTGGTTCAAGTTTTTGAACAGATGTCTTAACCTAAAAATTAATTTTGATAAAAGTTGCCTTGTGGGTCTAAATTTGGAAGAGAAGGAGATCACAGAAAGTGCTCAGGTTTTGGGTTGTGAGGTGTCTCAGTGATCGTTGACCTATTTGGGCTTACCGTTGGGGGATATTCCAAGAACAAGTAATTTTTCAAATCCTGTGGATGAAAGGTTCACAAAGAAACTGGTGTCATGGAAGAGGAGGAATCATGCTAATCAGGTTTTGATGAGAGACTTTTCTTTGGTGGGAGACAGGTAAGGAAAAGGACCATAAGAGTTAGGTGGGAAGTGATTAATAGAAGGAAGAAGTTTGGTGGATTCGGGTTAGGGAACATCCAAAAGAGGAATGTTGCCCTGTTAGGAAAATAGCTATAGAGATCACCTCTGGATAGAGACAAGCTGTGGACAAAAGTGATCATCAGTATTCATGAGCTTGCGGCTAATGGCTGCGATTCCCAGATTCTGATTAGGGCTTCTAGAGCTTCTCCCTAGAAGTCCATCCATGAAATTTTACCTTTTTTTTGGCCATTTGTTAGGTATAGTCCTTGTTCTGGAAATTGTGTCAAATTTTGGGATCATGTGTGGTTGGATAATTTGCCTTTAAAGGAGCAATTTCCCTCTCTTTATGCCATTTCCAATCATAGAGACAAACCTATTCTCTTCTTTCATAGAGACAAACCTTCTAATTCACCATCTGGTTTTGACTGGGACTTTGAATTTAGGAGAGGGCTTCGTGAATCGGAAATGATGTTGTCACACCTGTCTATTCTCCAACAATTGGATTTGGTCCTTTTTTTATCAATAACAAGAAACTTTATTAAAGATATGAAACTATGTGAAGCTTAGGTACAAAGGGGAGGTAAAAAGACTTAACTCCCCACCAAAGAATACAAGGAAAATTCATAAATTAGCCCAAAAAGTCGAAACCCTATCCACCCCTTGCTTTGCTAACCCATCAGCAAAAGAATTAGCAGTCCTTTTCACCCAGTTGTAATGAACCACAATATCCCTTCTCAGCCAGTTAAATTTATTCTTCTCATTGTTATAACTCCATAATCCGCTGCCTCCCTCCTTTAGCCACCTAATCACCACCTCCGAGTCACCTTCAAGAACCAAACATCTGATGTTCAACTCCCTTGCTCTTTGGATACCTTCTAGGGCTGCGAGGATCTCAGCCCTAAGAGAGTCTCCTTCCCCAATTGGGTCTGAGAACATAGCAATAATAGCCCCCACCTCATTCCTGAATACTCCCCCAATCCCAGAAGGCTCTGGGTTCCTTATACAACTACCATCAAAATTCAATTTTATGAACCCAGGAGGAGGAGGGGACCACGAAGGACTACAGGTCCTCTAACAGAGGGCAGAGGAGGCTATCTCCTTCCAATTTCTCACCACATCAGCCACAGAATAATCTAAGAGCAATTCCATAGTTTTCAACCAATGTGCCACCCTTAACAGGATTAGATCTAATAAGTTTCAAATGATTCTTTCCTTATCAGAAAATATTCGTGAGTTTCTTTCTTCCCATAGAGACCAACACACTGCAGCCCCAATGCTTCTCCACATAGTCTTCCCTCTCTTCTTCGGCCATCTGAAAAAAGATGGAGAGAACAAGCTTTGGACACTCCYAGGGGGAATCCAAACACACCCAAAAAGGGAAAAGACCCACTCCCAAACTGATTTAGCAACCGAACAAGTGACCATAAGGTGGTAACCAGTTTCCCCATCAGGGTCTCTTCTTCTGAAGTAGGTCATTTGTGTTAATTCTTTCCAAGAAAGTTTCCCAACAAAAACTACCAACCCGAGGAGGAATGGGCCTACTCCAAATTTCTTTAACCAGGAAAGACAACCCAATGGGATCAGAAGGCTGAGTTAAAGTCTCGAAAAATGAGGCACAAGAGAAAACACCTAAAGAGGAGGGAACCCAAAATCTGGTGTCCTTAATGGAATCCAAGAAGACATTTTCAAGGATGGCTAACAAAGACAAAATGTGGTCCAAGTTTGTGTCCCTAATTGCCCTTCTCAGCCCTATGTTCCACCCAAACCCTGAAGGAGAGTCTGAGGGGGTTAAGAAGGAAGAAATGGGTTCATTTTTCAAATCAGAAAGAGCATACAAAGAGGGGAATTGGTCCATTAGAGGTGATGCCCTGACCCAAAGTTGTTCCCAAAATTTTATTTTATTACCGGAGTAAAGGCCATACCTGATACAAGGGGAGAATACTGGAAGCAGTTTGTGTATGGCTGACCAAGGAGAAGCGGTTGTAGTCCTTGCCAAGATTCCAGGTTCCCAACCATTGTCTTCCAACCCATGTATACTAGCCACAATCTTTGTCCACCACTTGTCTCTTTCCAACGGAAACCTCCATAGCCATTTCCCCAATAATGCCATGTTCCTCTTCCTAAGATTCCCAATCCCAAGACCTCCTAGCTTTTTACCTCTAGTTACCACCTCCCAACTCACCGTATGGTCCCGTTTCTCCTCTCCAAGCTCCCACAAGAAATCCCTCATAAGCTTTTCCAATGTGTTAGAGACCTCTGTGGGGATCTTAAACACAGATAGGAAGTACACAGGAAGATTAGCTAGGGTTGATCTAATCAAAGTGATTCTCCCCCCCAAGGAAAGATAGTTTTTCCTCCAAGAGGCAAGCCTTTTCCCAAATCTCTTCACCATCGAGTTCCAAAAGCTTACCTTCTTAGGGTTATCCCCCAGGGGGAGGCCTAAGTAAGCCATCGACCAATCCAAGGTTGCACACCCTAAGACATCTACATACTCTCTAAGCTCCCTCTCCTCCAGATTCACACCCGCCAAACTACTTTTATCCAAATTCACCTTGAGATTGGATACCCGCTCAAAGAGTTGTATTGCCAACTTTAGGTTCCGAATCCACTCAATGTCCCCACCTTCACATAAAAGGATAGTGTCATCTGCGAATTGTAGATGAGTAAGAGGTATAACCTCCCTTCCTACTCTCCATCCTTTTATTAAATTCCTTGAATCTGCTCTTTAAATCAATCTCCCAAGTATATCAGCAATCAGAGAGAATAGGAAAGGGGATAGTGGATCACCTTGTCTTATTCCTCTCGAGGCAGGGAAGAAATCCACCACAGTTCCATTCACCAAGATTGAGTAGTGGCAACTTCTAATACAACCCTAAATCCAATTACACCAACTGTCTCCAAAGCCAAAATTTTTCAACACCTCCAACAAGAAGGATCAATCAACCAAGTCATAAGCCTTCTCCAAGTCCAGTTTACACACCACTCCTTTCTTCTTGGATTTCCTAAAACTCTCTAGACCCTCATTTGCAATCAAGATTTGATTAGTAATTTGTTTTCCCATCACAAAAGCACCTTGGTTAGGTGCAATTATAGAAGGAAGAACCTTCTTTAACCTTAGAGACAACACTTTTGCGATTATTTTGTACAAACTGTTCACCAAACTAATAGGTCTGAAGTCCCTTGGTTGCGAAGCCTCTTTCTTCTTAGGAACTAGAGCAATGAAAGCGGAGTTCAAGCCTGGGTTGATTATTCCCCTTCTATGAAACTCCTCAAACACTGACCCAATATCTTCCTCCACAATACCCCAACAATCTTGATAAAAAGCCATAGTGAACCCATCCAGACTTGGAGCTTTTGTTCTATCCATTGAAAAGATTGCTTCCTTTATCTACTCCAAACCAAATCTCCTTTCTAACCACTCTCTGTCTTCTGGACTTAGATTCGGCCAATCTAAACCCTCCAACCAGATCCTTTCATTTAAAGGTCTTCTGAAAA